ATGTTGTGTTGTATCGTAGAATCTTACTTTTCCCTTTATGTATGTTGAGACCTACTGCTGCTGAGGTTGCTGCTACACTGGTCGTCTTCTCTTGCATTGTTTGTTGCGTGTGTGATAGAAGAACCAGATTGTCCAGCCGCATCGAAGCTGTCCAACATACATTGTGGTTCCCTCCAGATTCTGACGTCTCCATAATCCATTCGATGACCAGAGGAAAGAGAAAGGGTGAGAATAAGCAACCTTGCCTGACACCGGTCTTCACCTCAAACGAGTTTGTCAGCTGACCCCCATGCACGATTCTGCAGTTGAATCCATCATAAGAATTCCGTATGATGTTGACTATTTTCTCAGGCACACCGTAGTGTCGAAGAAGCCTCCACAGTGTTTTTCTATCCACGCTATCGAATGCTTTCTCGTAGTCGATGAAGTTGATGTAGAGTGGTGAGTTCCATTCAACTGATTGTTCCACAATGATCCGTTATGTGGCAATTTGGTCAGTACATGATCGATCCTTAAGAAATCCAACCTGTTGGTCTCGAAGTTGGGCGTCTACGAAGTCCTTCATTCTGTTTAACAATACCCTGTTGAAGACTTTGCCTGGTATTGAAAGAAGAGTGATGCCTCTGTAGTTCTCACACTTGCTCAGGTGGCCTTTCTTTGGTATTTTGATCAGGTATCCTTCTTTCCAGTCTCTTAGTAATTGTTGATCATCTCAAATCTTTTTGAAGAGAATGTGAAGTATTTTCGCAGTTGCTTCTACATCTGCTTTCATTGACTCTGCTGGAATGTTGTCTGGTCCTGCTGCTTTGCCGTTCTTGATTTGTCTGATGGCCATACTGATCTCCTCAATCGTAGGTGCGCCAATATTAATTGGGAGGTCCGTGGATGCTGCTTCGATGTTGGGTGGGTTCAGTGGAGATGGTCGATTCAGGAGTTCTTGAAAGTGCTCTAACCACCTATTTCGCTGTTCTTCAGTGTTGCTGATTTCTTTGCCTTCCTTGCTTTTCACTGGTCGTTCTGGTTTACGATAGTTCGCGGCGAGCATATTTGTAGTTTCGTACAATTGTCTCAAGTTTCCTTCTCTTGCAGCCTTTTCCGCCGTCATTGCTAGATCTTCCACATATTTTCGTTTGTCGGCTCCGATGCTCTTCTTCACTTCCCTGTTTGCTTCTGTGTATGCAGCTTGTGCGGTAACTTTCTCCGCTCTTGTTCGGCTGACATTGATTGCTGCCTTCTTGTTCCTCCTTTCTTGAATTTTTGCGAGAGTATCAACAGAGATCCATTCCTTGTGATGGTACTTCTTGTGACCCAGAACTTCGTGACATGTTGAAGTGATTGCCTGCTTAATCCCTTTCCAATTGTTCTCCAATGTTGCGTCCTCTCCATTGTGCAGATCCTGAAAGGCCTGGAACCTATTGGTGAGGGCTATCTTGAATTCGTTGAGTTTTACAGTATCCCGAAGAAAGGCCGTATTGAACTTCTGTGATGTTGTCTGTCCCGTTGTCCAGTGCTTCTTTAGTTTCAGTTTCATTTTAGCTACCAGCAAATGGTGATCTGAGGCTATATCAGCTCCTCTCCTGGTTCTCACATCCTCCATAGTACTTCTGAACATTTTGTTGATACAGATATGATCAATCTGGTTTTGAGTAGTGTGATCCGGTGAAATCCATGTAGCTTTGTGTATGCGTTTGTGTGGGAATATTGTGCCACCGATGACCAGTTTGTCGAAGGCACATAGGTTTGCAAATCTCTCACCGTTTTCGTTTATTTCTCCCAGTCCATGTCGTCCCATGATGTCTTCATATCCAGTGTTGTCCATGCCAACCTTGGCATTCAGGTCTCCCATAAGAATCGTCAAATCCTTTGGTGAACATTTCTCGACGATTGACTGCAGCCTTTCGTAGAATTGATCTTTGTCGTCGTCATTGTAGTCATCGGTAGGTGCGTAACATTGGATGACGTTCATTGTAATGTCCTGTTTCTTTGTTTTGAAGGATGCTTTAATGATCCTGGGTCCATGAGATTCCCATCCTATCAGTGCTTTTTGTGCATGTTTGGACAGCATCAGTGCAACTCCTTGTGTATGTGAAGCATTTTCCTCTTCATGTCTAGAGTATAACAGCAGTTCCCCTGAAACTAGTCTCAGTTGTCCTACTTGTGTCCAATGCGTTTCACTGATGCTGAGCACCTCGACGTTGTATCTTTTTATTTCTGCCGCAACTTGAAATGGTCTTCCAGTCTCCCACAATGTACGAACGTTCCATGTACCTAAAAAAATGGTTGCTCTGGTTGTCAGAAGAGGCATTGGCCCCGTGACTTCCGAGGGAACTCGGCTTTCATCACGAGACGTCATAATTCTTTCTCCAACTCCCAGAGCAGAGTTAAAATGGTTTGAATAATTTTTTCTGGTTAGCTTTTTTTTGGCAAGTTAGATTTCAACGGAATGGGGCCGCCAACCCCATGTCCAACCCCTCCTCCTTTACCCGGGCTTGGGACCGGCAGTAGCCCCGAAGGTTCTACTGGCAGAGTTTATTGAAAATGTGGCTGCATAATACTGTTTCTGTCAGTGACATGGTGTAAATATGCAGTCAGAAACTGACTCTTATACTCAATTTAACTGCTATAATTTTACAGTAATTGTGAAAGCATTTGTGACAATTTGATCTAGCCTGTAAACTGTAACGTAGTTATTTGAGAATAAATATATTATTATTACTACTATTGTGAGACTATTGAACGTGTGTCTATGTTCCAGCACCTGACAAAGAAAGAATATTTGGTCTATACATTCACATCCAGGTCTGAAACCAGCCCGGTTTTCTCAACTCTACTCCTCACAAGCGTCGGAGTATTATTAAAGCTAATATTTTACACAATATATTAGTCAGATTGATTCCCCTGTGATTGTCACAAAATGGCTTTTATCCTTTCTTATAAATTGGCACAATCACGGATTGAGATCAGTCAGATGGGATAACGACCAGTTCCCAGATTCTATTTAAGATCTCATTCAATCTAGCTGCCGAAACTGGACCACCATCCTTAAAAATTTCAGAGGTAAGCCTGTTAGGCCGTGCTGCTCTCCCTCGCTTCAGATTTCCTATAGCTTTCTTCATATCATTCCAAGCTGCCTCAGGGTGGACATCATTTACCACCTGGCTGCCTAACTGCTTTCTCTAGTTATTCCTGAATTATATTCTTAGCTTTATTATCATTAAGTAGAGCCCTAAGAGGATTCCTTGCAATATCTTTCCTATATATGCAGTAAGAAGCGAACAAATACGCACACGCACTAGAGCATGGTGTGAGTCTAAACAAGTGCTCCAGAATGAGCGGCAATCTTCAACAGAGCCTCTCCACCGATGGCTTACATTGATGTGATCTAGTTGGGTCCAGATTTGGGTCGACTTTGGGGGTCGGCAAGTCAAAAGATAGATTTTCCTGTGCTTAAAGTTAGTGTTTGTTAGATATAGGCAGTTATCTGAGCTTAGCTGCAGCAGACGGTCACCATTGTCCGTTCTACTAGCCTAGACAACATAGGATCCCTCCAGATGCCCTTCCTTTTCACCTATTCTACCTACTTGAGCATCGACGTTACCAGCCATCATTACTACATCGGGATTCATTTTAAGATAGCTAGTTCTTTCCGACGACTCAATGGTATACCTACGCCAGCGAAGCCATGGGAAACAGCATCAGGGCTACCTGAAACACGAAGCGTAAAGCGTGTTGCTTCTCTGTCTGCAATAGGCAAAATCAAATTTTAGATATTACTCGGATCTTGTATGCGCGTTTCGGAGGCGCAACATACAGCGATCGCACGGGATTCCAGAATCCTTCATAATGAAGCCTGTTGCTCTATTCGGCATTGGGTTCGAGCACCAAAGGCTTCGATATGTAATTTAGATTGGTCTTTCAGGAGACTGGGAATAATGTTTCGTGAGCTGAAACAGTTTTCTTCAGTGGCGCAAGGTGACAAACGTTCGAAGAAAGGATTGGTTCAGGAGATAAGAGATTTATTAGGTGTAGAAAGGATTTTATTGTGACCAATTTGGTCTCATGTGCTTTTAAAGATATGAGGGCGGATGTTGATTACCGGCTGTCCATACCGTGGAAAGGTTCTGGTTGTCAGAAAGGGCATCGGCCTCATGACTTCCGAAGCAACTAGGCTTTCATCATGAGTCGTCAATGTTCTTATAAATGGAGAAATAACTCCCAGAGCAGAGTTTATATGGTTTGAATTATTTCTTCTTGTTAGCGTTAGAATTTCTTTCACCGAAATGATCTTAAGACTTACTAGACAAGAATAGAAATCTCGGTTTCGGACATTGGTACTGAAATGCATGATATCTTAGCTAGTTATAAGGATGTGGAACGACGTACTGCAAAGAGATCAGGTACGGATGCTTGACGAACAGTTTTCCTCACGAGTCCACTGAGTTTGATTTTCTCTACATAAGTTTCTAAAATGTACCATGCTATTGGAATTAGGGAATGATTCATCACTACGAACTGACAGTTTTATTATCAAATACAGTGTTCACGTTCCTAACGATGTTATATCGAACATTTTCTTAAATTATGAGAGGAAAAATATCACTTTCTTGAACCTCAGTCTTTTATAAATGTTCATTCGAATTTGAGAAGAGTGATGGAATAATAGATTTTACCAAAACTAGAGCTGGTGACAGCGAGGTAGCCAAGGCGAGTAATCATGAGCTTGTATGATTGTCATAATTATGGCGGCTAAATGATGAGTTTCATCGGCAATTGGCATTCAAAGTATATGATGCATAATGTTTCTCGAATTTAACGTAAGATCTCACCAAGTTTAAAATTGGTAGACTTAGGCAAAAAATTGTTCTTGGATTTGGGTTGATGAAAAATTTAGAAATGTATTAAACAACTATAATTTCACATTTCCTTTCAGGTTTTGTTTGAACTAATCGTAGTTTAGTAGGACAGTTCTGGTCGTTTCTGCGGAGCGAGTTTTCGTAAGCATGAGTCCGGAGCAGATATGTATGCTTAAGCAGTTTGTCGAGTTGTTGAAGAAGAAACCTGAACTCCTAAACACTCCTGAACTTTCATTCTTTAAAAATTGGCTTATAAGGTATATTTGTAGTCTAGTTTACCTGCAAACAGCCTTGGAGCTAATATCCCTGTCTCACAACCTAACCAACACACTGAAAATTCATTTTCAGACGACTCTGGCGCAGATGAAACGTCAGAATCTGAAATAGGTGAGTTATCATAGTAGTTATTTCCTCCTCTCAGAGTTCGACGATGAAGTGCTACCAAAAGAACCTGTCCCGGATCTCGAGATGGGTGACGACTCAGTGGAAGTAACGGATGAGATGATGGAAAAAGCTGAAGAAAAGAAATGTGAAGCCATGGCAAAAATGTCTGATGGGGATTTTGATGCAGCTATAGACCTATTCACTGAAGCAATCAAGCTAAACCCACAGTCCTCACTGTTTCATGCTCGCCGTGCCAGGTAAACATCGCTTTATTTAACAATCCCACAGCTGCTTTGTAAAAACAAAAAAACCTTCCCATGCTATCGTGGACTGCGATAAAGCTATTTCGTTAAACCCTGATTCTGCTCAACCCTATAAATGGAGGGGGTTCGCAAATAAGTACGTTCTCGTTCCGAATACCTATCCTTCACAGGATGATTGGCAATTGGGAGGCTGCCTATCGGGATCTACAAACATCTTTAAAGTTAGACTACACGGATGATGCCAATGAAGCGATGAAAGAAGTTGAACCAAAGGTATTTAGCTAGGTATTCGCCGTGTTTGGTAGTAGTATTTTTGACTAAAAACCTCAAACCAGTCTCAAAAATTATCGCTTTTTGAACGAAGCCTGCGTTTAAGCCTGGTACAAGGACATTTGTTCAACGTAGTGGGTCTAATGGGGTATATTGGTGAATATAGATTATACGGTTTAGCTAGTTATCTTACTATTTAGATGCAGGTATATTTGCTGTTTTCAGTTAGGAATCTTCTTGACTCGCCTGCATGCAGTCGGTCAGTCATAGCATAGAACATTGTACGTTCGCACACGACCTGCGGTTGTCACACCAAATTGTGTGTCCAAACTCCGTAATAGTATAGGTGGTAGCACTATTAGTGGTAATGGAAAAAGTCAAGGGTCGAATACACGAATCAGTGAAATACGAACCGTTGGAATAAAAACGTAGAAGAAAAGGTGTTGTGGCGAGTTCAGAAGCTTGATCTTTGGGGGAAGACAGTAAGTTTATACACCTGTGCCATTGTAACTAGTTCTGACTCGCGTCACCCATAATGTCCAACCATCGTTTACGACTGCCCCGAGGACCCCAACTAGGTTGTTTACACATTAACATGTTTCAGTCTAAATGTCAGAGTTCTATGCTTTGGTTTTCTTGCTCTTAACCTTCTTCCGACTCGCCGTACTAAGCAACGTAACCCATCAAATTAGTTGGTGGTTAAGCGTGCGCAAAACCAGTCTCATTCATCTTGTTTGGTGTGGCTCCATTACCTCGTCAATCTGTTTGCCACCCTTATTGAGTTCCCTGTGCTTGATTTCAAGCCATGAGCGGGGACTTAAATTGTCCCGAGCCATCCATGTGTTCATAAACAAGGTCGTTCAGTATATTTACCAATTCACTTGTAGTCCTCGTCGATATATATGTGTATGTAACCTCTTATTTGTGGGAACGTTTGGAGTCTACGGCCCAATCCATGACATGTATGTGGGGGGTGATTAATAACGGAAGTAATCAATCGTGGTTTTTAAGAGTCCACTCGCCTCCTCTTGACCCTGATGCCTGTTTAAACTGTATTCTCAGGATTCAGTCCATCGCTCCTGGTTCTTTGATCTTGACTAAGTATGACATGGCAACCTTGATGTTGGCCAGGTACTACGTTTTTCTGGTGTATCGAATCACCTTGACGCTTACACTTTCTCTTTCCTTTCGTGTAGCACAAACGAATCTTCGAACACAACATGAAGTATGAGCGCAAACGACAAGAAAAGCTAGATCGAGAAAAACGTGAACGAATTCGGAAAGCTCGAGAGGAGCGTGAACGAGCTCAAAAAGTATGTTTACTTGTCTTTGTGTGTATTTTAGAGAAAGGTACTATGCATAAATTACTATCATTCTTGACAATTGAGTACTGCACTTTCAGTCAGTTATTTTACTGCATAAGATTAAATAACGACTGGAAATCTTGTTTATTTTGTAGCGTGTTCTCCTCTTAGTTCAACAATATTTATTTTCGAAGATGCTATGGTTTATACAAGTCTGTGAACTCTCATTAATGTCATAGTTTACCCTTTGATGTTTCAGGCATTGTTATCAGTGTTTAGACATCGACATATATGGTCTCAAACTCAAAACCGACTAACCGGAGCCCCTTGGATTATCTGAGTTAGGTAATTGGATCCATTTGAGTAGTGATGAGCTTTAAACTATTGTTCTGGCTTACCAGGTCGTTTAGAGAGGTCAAACTAACTTATCTTCAGTTAGTGTGCTTTCCGTATCTATACCGATGTTATTAATGCTCCTAACTTCACTACTTGTTGATTGACTCTGCCTGTTTTTCATGGCTTATATCTTTTTTTAAACAGAATGCCGAAAAGCACGATTTTGAAATGCCAAACAGCGGTGACGTTCCTGGCATGGACAATATGTTTTCGCAGCTTTTCAATGATCCAGAATTGGTGAGTGCTATCCAGGTACGTTCCTCATGGTCTTTTCCACTCATTCAGCATATCACGGTCTGAAGCTCATTAAGTTTGGTAACTTAAGTTAGACTATTTTGATCCTAATTCGAGGAACTCGACACTACCAAATACTTTTTAAGTCTGGTTCAACTGATTGGAAAGTTCCTGATGCTTATTTGTGGGATCAGTAGTTTTTGTGGTGAGACTGGTTTGTGGACGCGTAAGCGATGTGAAAGTGATCTAAACCTAGGTTTCGCGAGATCTATCAATTTAATATCTATTAAGTAGATTGATCTATGGGATTTACTACTCCATCTATGCCCATATCGTTTAATTTAAAACAGATAATCAGTAGTTTGTTTCTATTTCATAGTTTTACTCTGGAACTGTATTATGACGGGTCATACTTGACCATAAGTTGAGGTGGTTGGGAATGCCCAACCACTGACTGCCTCGACGAGCTGTTTGGTGCAGGAGGAATCAGTTGGAAGAAAGCTAGGGGCGGCCAATCCCGAACATGACAGAAATCCATGAAGTCACTGACAAGTGGACTGTCATGTTGGTAGATGTAGGCTACCTGGTTAGGGTCCGCGAGACGTAAGTCACCATTGGTTAGTGATCTTGAACGACATAGCTAGAAATCGTTTGTGATGGCGCAGGTGTATCCACTGTTTGTGTCCTCTCAACTCCTGATCTTCATTAGCAGTAATTCTTCTATTATCTCTTCCACTATGGGATTTGAATTGACAATTGTGTCTCTGTGCTAATTCGGTATCGCAACCTGAACTGATGTACTTACGTACGAAGTTCTGCGTTGTAACTGACTGATACTTGACCTTAGTGTGTTACTGCCCATATTGTATTAAGGATTTCAACTACAACTTTTTACTTTTGGGTTCAATAATAAAACTGGTTGTGTTAAGAATTGATTCATATTCCTATCAAGTTCTTGGCTTCAGAACCATAATCTATTCATAATTCATCCTTATGTAACTGTATCTATGGTTTCTTTTCAGGATCCTGAAGTAATGAAAGCATTCAGTGAAGTTTGTTCAAACCCAGCTGCCATGGATAAATACAAAAATAACCCTAAAGTTAAGAAAGTTATTGAAAAAATGAAAAATAGATTTGGTAGTGGTGGTGCTGATATGACTGGTAAGTTAATCATACCGACAAAACACCTCAATAGCGTTTGTTAACAAACTTAGACCTCATTATTACCTAAAGAGCTCACTTTAAGTTGGATGTATACATTGAAGAAATTGAGTTGAAGTGATAAACTTCTAACCAGATTTGTGATCAAGTAGGAACAAATCTGTTCGTCAACAAAGCTCGCAACAGATATTTCACGAACCCCACTCTCGGTATACACAATAAGATTAACCGGTCGTTGCAGCCCACGCTAGTTCAAGGTAAGGAATGCATCATATCTAATGACATCATAGTAAGAAACCCTGAACAAAAGGCAAAACGTTTAACGCGATAACCTTAGTTTCAACAGAAAAGTAAATATAGATCATAAACTCTGTAGGTATAGGGAGATGAAACGTGAAAAAAATCCTGGACATAATTACTGATTCGACGTAATATTGTCCATCATCCTCAGCCATAGTCTGCCGTCATCTCTCATACTATAACCATGAAGTTTAGACTCTAAACAATGTAGTTATCACTGACTCCATAGGTAAGTGACATTTTACGAAAGTAGTGAGTCACAGTATGTTTTCACTGTCTATGCACTTACTAACTACATAAAATGTGCCTAAATTCCGCTTGTCTGTAAAATGGTCACTTATGTGATGAGGTTGTTGGTAGTGCTCCCACCCAATCCTAATGTCTGACGAAGGCTCAGCTTGCGTCACTTATGGCGTAGTCGAGATATCCATCTGCTAACCAAAGGGTGCGCGCACTGTGCAGAATTTCGCTCCGTCCTACTTTATGGCTGTGAAACGGCCAGAATAAAGGATATAGGCTATTATTATTCCATCATAGGTATCTTCACTGCATTGCTCATATATCCTGGGACAATCGATTAAGCAATGCAATTGTTAGGAAACGAGCGCTAGGTAAGAATGGCAAGTCAGTTGAAGTGATGAATCTTCATCAGTTGAGATGGTGGGAACATTTGTTACGTATACCTGATGAGTGACGTTTTGTGGTGTTGGTGTAGGTTGAAAGAAAGCTAGAGGCGGTCATACCAAAACATGGCGCAAATGCATGAAGCCACTGACAAGTGGACTGAGCCATGTTTATAGGTGTAGACTCCCTGGTTGGGTTCCGCGAGATGATGGTAATCGATGGTTAGAGACTTGAAGACAGCTCAAAATCATTTGTAATGATGCAGGTGAATTCATCATTTTGTTTTCCCAAATTCCAATTTAAACTCCTCATGACCTTCATCTTCCTCGTCTCAAATCCGTCTCACTGAATTATACTTCTTGAATAATATCTTCGGACCGTGATCCTTACGATTACTGCTCATGCTTCTACTACTGCTACCACCATCGGAATTGAATCGACAGTTGCATTTGTTTGCCACCGTGGTATAGCAACTTTGACTGATGTACGAAGTACTACGTTGTAACTGACTAGTGCTCTCACCTATCGTCAGCTACCAGAATTCCTGATACTGCTGTTACATGGTCACTGACAGGTAAGTGCCTTCGTATTGCTTAAGCTTTGTTTACAAAACTGAAGGTACGAAAAGCAAATTTTCAAAACGTGAACCTGCTTGGTTCGTTCAGGAGATCTACCTAGGGTAGTTGGAATACACTTATTCTAAACCACTGGTACACGTAGATTCCAGTTTTCTAATGTAACGAAAGTTGAAGGAACCTATTCACGATCACTGGTTGCTCTAGCACTGTCTCGTGATGTTGGTCCACTGCCTTGTGGATGAGACCTTTAGATCAAAGACATGGCTGATGACCCCCTGAGAATTCTACCCGCTCCACTTCGAGCGGAGCGACTAAATTAAACAAGATGTAACTAATTGTTCATTTTACCAAATGTACTAATGAATACAGTTTGCTTCATAGCATACATTTCTCATTCATTTGATGTGATTAAATTATTAGGAGGTATGCCTTTTGGAATGGGAGGATCCGGTTTCAGTATGCCTAACCAGTCATGTCCAGGTAAGGTTTTATAAAAAATTAATCAGTAATTCCATATTTAGATCTAGACTAAGTGGACGAAGATAAATTCCTGTCAGTCGGTGATTCCCTTCGGATACATTTAATCTCTTGTCTTTGTTCCATACCTATAAATAAAAACTTCCCACCGTTTTCTCTTCTTCTGTAAAAGCCGTTACGGGTTCACTAATATTCATTGGTGTGGAGTTTCTCCATCTGTGTATGTCTTATGCTGCACTATGACCTATCCTTTCATTCACGGATTCGCTGCAAGGTTGTGTATTATCACAGTCACGGCTAGTTTTTCAAAAGTACGTTATTCGGCTCCTTGTAGAATGAATATTGTCAAACAGTCATTTACACAGGAGAACCTGTCTAAACATTTAGCATCCAAAGTGTTAATAAGAATTTAGCTTTTATTGAATGATGGCATTCTGTAATTATGTTGCCGTCGAATGCTTAGTAACTGTATCGACAGTCACGATTGAAATTGAAGTCCTGACTTGCCACTATATTGGATGTATTTATCCTTCCTATCTGGATTAACAGACAAACTGGGTCGTACAGGTTGCTTCGGTACTGTTCCGGTTGTTGGACGATCTATCAGGAAGCTGGTTAGTGAGATGAATTAATACCAAAAGGGAAAATACCGCACGTCTGATGTAAGTTACATGGTATTATTAGAACTCCTACAGGTCTCGATTGTGTGCAAATGTGAGTTGTTCACATAACCTGTTTATCACGAGTGTGTACGTTGGGTGACATTCAATTTATGTTCGTTTCTCTCTTTTTCAAGGCGAGTTGTCACCGACTTATCAGAGTTCATGTCTCTAGTCTAATTGGACTAGAAAAACTTGAAATCCTTTTGCTACATACTGTTTGAGCTAGGTTTTTCACTTGCTTGATGGGATTCGTTCGGTCGGATCGTCCGCGCAAGTAGATAAAATGTAAGTCTATTTTAGTCTTATAGCCTGATCGGTTGATTATCTAAGCAATATTAATACCATGGAAGTGCTTTGAAAAAATCCATCAGCGGAGTTCGTGGCGAGATGGATTTCTGGGGAGCATTCTATTCCAGGTTACCAACCATGAGTTTAGTAATTATTTTTAAGACAGCATTTGGAGTTGACTTTGACTACGGATACTGTCAATCGAACAACAATGGTAATATTTATCGACCTTAAAGCGGCATTCGACTCTGTTGTTGGTGGGGTTCTTTGGCAATGTCTGTCATTAAAAGGTGTGACAAAGAAGTACATTAACCTCATACAGGCTCTCTACTCGAACATCACTGGTCGAGTAAGAGCTTAAGGTGAACTGTTATCGGAATTAGTTACATCAAGTGGTGTCCGTCAGGGCTGTCCATTCTTGTTTAACTTTGTCGTAGATATGCTTTTAGAGTTAACATTGTCATCGTCTGACTCTTCAAGAGTGAACCTGTCACCCGGAGACACGCTTGTTGACTTAGAACATGTTGATGGCATAGTCCAGTTAGGTGAAGACGCTGACAAAATGCAGTCTTCTGACTACCCTAAGCAACAATGTAAGCATGTTAGGAATGCGGTTTTCCCCGTCGGAATTCAAAGTGTTGCTTCAAGATTGGGTTGCATCGGTACCTGAACTGGTGATAGGAAGTGGAGTAGTCGAACATGTAGACCGCTTAAATTATCTGGGGAGTCTCGTCAGTGTTGATGACTGACGAGATCTCAGCACGGATACAGAAAACTCGATTGGCTTTTGCCAACTTGCGTCACCTATGACGTAGGCGAGGTATCTGTTTGCTGACTAAAGCACGCGTGCTGCGCAGTAGTTCACTCCGTCCTACTATACGGATCCGAAATATGGCTGGTAAGAGTAAAGGACATTCGTAGACCATAGGTGTCTACGAAGCATAGCTGGGTTAACCGAATAAGTAATGCTGTCGTTAAGAAACGAGTGCTAGGTAGGGATGGCAAATCAATAGATGAAGTATTGAAACTTCATTAGTTGAGGTGGTTGGGATGTGTCACATATGTCTAGCGACCAGCTATCTCGATGAGCTGTTTTATGATACTGGAGTAGGTTGGAAGAAAGCTAGGTGTGGCCAAACCAAAACATGACACAAATACATGAAGTCACTGACAAGTGGACTGTCATGTTGGTAGATGTAGGCTACCTGGTTAGGGTCCGCGAGATGTAAGTCACTATTGGTTAGTGATCTTGAACGACATAGCTAGAAATCGTTTGTGATGGCGCAGGTGTATCCACTGTTTGTGTTCTCTCAATTTCTAACCTGAATCCCTCATTATCTCTACCTTTGTCCTTCTAAACTTATCTCACTGAATGAATCCTACTTCTCGAATCATATCTTCGAACCCTAATCTCCATTATTGCTAATACTTCTACTATCGCTACCACTATGGGATTTGAACAGACAGTTGTGTCTCTGTGCTAATACGGTATCGCAACTTAAACTGGTGTTCGTACGTACAAAGTTCTGTCTGTCTGTCATCCGAACAACCATTAGGAAGCGAAGAGTTCCGGATAGTTTATCTACTTCTACAAAAATAACGAATTTTAATTACAGCCTTCTACGGGTTACTCCGCATCTAAAAGACAACGTAAGCTCATCTGCATGTTTGTTGACCGTCCGTTTTCTCGAACCTTTATTTGGTTTTATACTGGTTTAGGCTTTAATCAAGAAGTGTTCTCAGTTACATTGGAACGTCAGTGTGTAGCTGTGAATGAATAAATTTCGTGAAAAACATCCCTGACGATTTACGTGAATAATATGCCCATGAAATATAGTACCACCAGGTTGAAATATGTTTTACGATTAGGCGATTCGAGGGAGAATATGGGGTTACTGACATGAAGGAATCCCTGAGTTGTTCTGCGGCCTGTGCGACTGGTTCGCTATACAGGGTGACTGTTATAATCTCTATACCGATTAATACGATTAATAAAAATTGTCTGTTTGGATGAGTATTAAGCAGTAGCTAATCGATAATGAGAAAATATCCATGTCCAGTACTTAATCAACATTTGTCCAAAATACAGTTTCTCGAGTGCTTGCTTATCTGATAAGCAGAACAGGAAATATTAAAGAATCTGAAAGGGCTCTGACTACATACTGTAAACTTATGAATCATTCATATGGTAATATGAAATAAGTTCCTAACCACATATTAACATTACTAGGAAGCTGAGTTAGTAAGTCTGTAATAATTCGTGAAGAACAGTGGTATTTCGTTATCAGTTCTAAGCACTTTTTAAAGCAATTTCCACTGTTTGTTATACGCAATATATGAGTTTCCCATGAACATTTCGATTCTGATTGGCTCTACAACCTACCATACATTTACTGAATATTTCTTCAATTTAAATTTTTCTATTTCAGAATCATTGTTTAAGTAGGAAAAACTAATGAAATCAGATTTCATCTGAATGCTTGACCTATATCACGCAGAATAGGACTCTTACTGGTAATATCTAGGTTGATAATTATTACAAAATTATATGTAAATGCATACTTCGTTTTCCTTGCCGAAAAAAAAACAAGTAACTAAGAAAAAGACGTTTCACATAAATCGATATTACAATCCATCTTCTACCAAAAAACTGTTAAAGTACACTGAAAAGGAAAAATAAATCATACAAAAATTTACTTTAAAATTTTGCCAAATTGAACATTGAGAATTGTTAAAATTCATGAATGATTGCAAATTGGTAGCAAACTTTCAGTAGTTATAGCTTCCTAAGTAAACCGAAATTTCAGTTTCGGAAATCATGAACCTCTATTATGATGATCAACATAACGGTCTTTAAATGTTTATGTGAGTACAAATTCCGAGGCTAAAGATCAAAATATAAATAGATCTTTCCAATAATTTAATCTTTGCTGTTAAAATAGCCAAATTTAAGATGGACAAAAACGAATAGTATAAGTCGTGCGAAACCGATATCATAATAGTATAACTTGACAAAACACGCGGTCAACTAAGTCATCATTAAACAAGCAGACTGTTTTCGCAACTTATCTTGATAACTCAACTTCTTCGAAAGTGAACGAAAATGTCTCACTTTTTCGTTGTTGGAAATATCTAACCTGTTAATGAATTACTAACAAATTACATAACCTTGAATGTAGAGAAGTGATTTTATTCAACAATATACTTTGAACTGATAACTGAAAAATAAAATGTTTTCGTAAAACAGAATTAAGTTATTTATTAAAATCAAAAATAATTAAATGATCAGCTTTCTGAGATAAAGTAGCTGGAGTAGAAATTAATATTTCAGGTCGTAGATTAGATAAGTTGAAATTATTTCTTGTGTCAAGTGAGGTAAAAATCCATTTACTCCAGACTTCGATCCATGCTTGATATAACAGTATTTCATGATCTATGCTGTTTCAAACTTATTAACACAAAACAATATAAAGACCTTCCTTACTTGCTCAAAACTAAGTGGTATTTTCCTTAAATAGGAAGTATTCACGGCCAGGCATAGGTTAGGCTTTGCAATTTGGCATTTAGTGAAATGTAACTTTCTGAGGTTAGCAGTTATACATTTTATCGTTTCTTGTATTATCAGTACAAGTCTCCTTGTCGATTATCATACCAAAATCAGCCTTAACGAACGAAAATCTTATTTCATCCTAAATTTTAAAATTGTTGACTGTTCTACATGTATATGTGAATTTTCTAGAAGATTTGATATCATTTGTTTCGGAAATAGATTGGCATCATTTCAAATTTATCTCAATTCTTCTTTAACGTAAATGTATTATTTTAGAATATTTCCGAATCATTTAAAACATCATTTGATCACTGTATGACTACTAATCCACTGAGAGATATCATGTCACTTTATGGAATTAAGAATATCAGGATTTCACTAAAAAAATGTATACTCTTTTTCTTGGTATTTACATAAAAGGCCAATTTAACTTGACAAACAACTACTTTAGAGTTCATTGTTTATA